AGACAGACAGACAGACAGACAGACAGACAGACAGACAGACAGACAGACAGACAGATAGACAAATGAAAAGGGGCCGTGCGCTGTGCGTCCATCTTACAAACATTAGTAAATGTACTTGAACTGAACAAGTCACAAAACTCTGGCTATAAACCCTACTTTATTATCATGTATTAACTGTATTCACAAACTAATACTTCTTTGGCACCTTGTTTTCGTGAAATCAGGGAAAAGGAAGAAGCAGAGGATGACTACAACGAGTACGATGGCATCGATCTAAAAATAGTGGACACCACCATGTTCATTGCCAGTACCGTCAGCCTTATGGCTCTCTCAGCTTTGGAAGCAACCAATCAGGTGGGTGCACACAAAGATCGAACATAACAAGATAGTTCACTCTTCCAAAACAAAAGTGTCTACGGAAGTCCACTCATTGCTTCAGGTGGCGCTGCAGTCACTGGTTTGAAGATCTCTATTTGTTTCTCTGGAAGGAGAATAGGAATAGCATAATTTGTTAGTTTCGATTTTATTGTTTTTCACACAATTAGGGTAACTCTGTTCGCAAAGTCCGCGCTTTTTCGAAGAGGGCACCACCGAATTTCGAGGACACTTTTTTAAAATTGGCTTATGGAGAGAAGGAAGGGGGGTGAGTGGGAGGGGGAGGGAGCGGGAAGGAGAGGAGCAGGGGAGTTCCCCAACCGTTTGATTCTCACCGATAACAGGTTGGGCTTGGTCAAGAGTTCTAATAATGCAATTCAACAAGACATCACGACTTTTAGTAATTGATTGATTCTCTTCGATAATTCTGGGGCTTGGTCAGGGTTCTACGAAAGCCTTTCATTACTTTTCAATATTACGCCTGAGACATCACGGATATACAGAGATCCGGCTTTTTGCGGGAAAGTCCACCCGTTGTTATTGTAATGCAATGGACAGATCAGGGCAGTTTCAGTCATGGGAAAATTGTACGTTCTGCTTCATTGACTCTTTTCTTGACCAGTGGACCATACCCAGCGTCCTGCTTGATCATGTGCGTCATTTTAGAGCACGATTACTGTTGGCTGACCAGTTCGGCCGTAATGAGAGGGGCGCAATATCCTGAATTGTTACCCAGATTCGTGATACCGTACAGAGAATGTCTAGGCAGGTTTCTGCTTTCATCTTCTGTGCGTGGGTATGATTCAACACTATTTATAGAACTTGACCCTTTAACCGTCAGTGTATGTGTGTGGGGGGAGTGGGGTTGGGGGTGTGGGGTATTCGTTTGCTTAAAATAGTCACTGGGTTACTGAGGTACACTCCCTTTATAAAGAACTTCTCTGTGGCACGGGTGGCTATAAGTAAAAATACATTACGACAATCTCGCAGTCAAAAGTAAAGAATGCAAGAAGACTTGTACAAATTTTCAAGAGAAAAGATCGAATTTTAGGTCAGTTTCTTTTTTCTTTAGGAAGCAACAACTAGGTAAACGGGGGAGATTTCTTCTCCCTTCAAGTGACACCTCACCCCCGACAAAGACATCGTCAGCGATAATTGCCCCCAAACTTTTGTTTGACGCACGCCTTCCCTGACGCTCGCAAAGCCTCGCCACCAAGAAGACCCCCTGTGCTCACGAGGCGAGGCAACACACGACAACAACAAAAAAGTGAAGAAAAAAATCCGCGTAAAGGCAGGTAAGTTCAGTTAAGTTACTGTTTTCACCTATATACCTGGGCCGTCATTGTTTCTTTCTACTTCGCCGTGCAGGGTGTTTGACTTGTTTCAAAGGAAAGGAGGTGAGAAAAAAATGTGTGAAAACAAAGGAGAATGAAGGGCGTGAGACGCAAGAATGCATTCGTGATGTGTCGCTCCGGCGTTTGCTTCTGTTCCTGCGCCCACTAGGACTGCCCAAGTTGCGCAGTCGCTCAAAGATCGAATCTCCATCTAGACCTATGTCGTGGACATTCGATCAATATTGATTTTGACGAGATACATACTTCTAACACCACGACTAGGTCTAGATATCCGAGATTTGATCAAAGGTAAGTTTGCTCTCAACGTTTGCTAACAGGGTATTTGCTCAGTATCAAACTGCTCGTAGTTTCGTTACTAGATAAACTGAACTAGTATATAAAAACGTATGTACTGCATGACTTAGTCACGGATTATTTCGATAGATCGTGGATCTGTGTCTTTCTCACCGGAAAGTGAGCGTGTGCGTACAAACCATACTCAGTGGGTTATCTTCTTACAAGTCATAAGCTACCTTCTCTTTGAGATCTTCTATAGATTTATGATTCGTGAATGTTTATTCTCGACTGTGAAGTTCTAGTGTGCTAATCTAAGTGCTCTGCAAGGTCATCGTGACCAACGAAGTAAATAATAGCAGGGGCCTAAGATCAATCATCAAAATTTTAAAATAATTGTGTAGATGTACCCCACTCTTGTTTTCTACTCTCTCTTTAGATGATACAAAAATATGAAATATCTAATCTGTTATCAGTGTTTCGTGATTACCATAATTACTGACCCATCTTCCCTGGCCAATGTCAGGCAATGAATACACCATTGCCTGTCATTATTTTTGGGATACGATAACATGATGATGTTATTTCGTAATAGAGAACCTTTCGGTCGAGTTATCACAATCAAGAGAAAACGCTTCTCGCCATTTCTATAGCGCTACAAACAGGTTTCTATAATCGTGATAAATCAAACTGAATTATGCAGAACATTCTAAAGTTTAGAGACGTGTAAAACATTCCAGCATTTTGTGAACTTTCGCAGGGAACAATTAATTCAGATCTAGATGAACATTTACAATGTTTAGAAACCGCTGCATACAGTATCTGGTAGAGCTGTTGTTGGGGCCTTTGGTTATTCGTTTTATATTCACACGTTTGGATTTTCAGTTTTAAGGTAACAGGAAAAAAAGAAAACCATTAATCCAACTCCGAGGTCCCGCCTCTTAATTAACCTAATAGTGTTGATAGAGACGCTAAACCCCCTTTAAACCAGGCTAAAACATGAACCTGGATATGGATAGCTGGTGCCTCTATAAATAAAATATTGATGATCAAGGCGTTACACCCATTCCATTTTCATCTTTTTTCCATGGGATCTAAGAACGAATAGGCAACATCATAATCCAAGAAGTCACAGATAGTGTGTGATGTCAATGGATTCATGGTATGGTAGTGTTGATTAGTTTAAAAAACAACAAAAAACAACAACAACTCAAACAGCAGCTTCAGTTCTTTTTTAAAAACTTTTATATAT